ACAGGCGCCCGCCACAACGCCTGGCCATTTTTTGGTTGCAGCCATCATTGTTGTTTGGCGGGCCAGGGCTGGGGATTTGAACCCGCCACCTTAGGTGTATGTGGCTGGGGCCTTAGCCGCTTGAGCCACAGGCGCCAAGCCAGTTTATACCATTTTTAAGGTACATTTTGTGAGGAGACAAAATAATTCTGAGTCCACTCTTTATGTAGGAAAACTAGGTCAGAATTAGGTAACATTTTACTGTTTCAGTAAGTATTAACATTTTGAAGAAAATAGTTACTTGGCATTGAGTGTTTCAAAAGTTAATTCTATTAATAGTTGGTTTTTAAAGTAGGCTGGTGTTACTTGCCTCATGGTAGGTCACTATGTGGCATTTTTAGGTGTTATAATGCTGTTATTCCTTAAATCCTAAAATAAAAAGTGAAAACATTTCAGATTCCTATGTAAAACTCAAAATCAGGCTCGGTGCCTGTGGCTCAAGCAGCTAAGGCGCCAGCCACATACACCTGAGCTGGCAGGTTTGAATCCAGCCTGGGCCTGCCAAACAACAGTGACGGCTGCAACCAGCTGCAACCAAAAAATAGCTAGGCGTTGTGGCGGGCACCTGTAGTCCAAGTTACGTGGGAGGCTGAGGCAAGAGACTCGCTTGAACCCAGGAGTTGGAGGTTGCTGTGAGCTGTGATGTCACGGCACTCTACCCAGGGTGACGGCTTGAGGCTCTGTCTCAAGAAAAAAAAAAAGACTCAAAATCAGTCAGTCTTATCTGTGTGTGAGACACATTGCTAGATATGGGATGTTAAAATATAAAGTGGAGTGCTTATGCATGTCTATTTAAATAAAACATAACATAGGCATTTGGAAGAGATTATGGTATGTATAGATATTCTACTTTCTGTTCAGTCATTTACTTAGTGTTTTTTTTTTTTTTAAGACAGTTTCATTTTGTTGCCCTTGGTGGAGTGCTGTGGTGTCATGGCTCACAACAACCTCAAACTCTTGGGCTTAAGCAGTCCTCTTGCCTTAGCCTCCTGAGTAGCTGGGACTACAGGTGCCTGCAACAATGCCCAGCTGTATTTTGAGACAGCATCTTGTTCTTGCTCAGGCTGATCTCGAACCTGTGAGTTCAGGGCAATCCACGCCCAGCCTCATTTGCTTAGTCTTTATACTATAAAGTATACACTTGATTAGGAGGTAATATTTTTAACAGTGGCACCCAGCAAGAATTATGTACTAGGCTTGGTACCTGTAGCATAGTGGTTACAGTCCAGCCGCATACACCACAGCTGGTGGGTTCGAACCTAGCCCGGACCAGCTAAACAACAATGATAACTGCAACCAAAAAACAGCCAGGCATTGTGGCAGGCACCTGTAGTCCCAGCTACTTGAGTGGCTGAGGCAAGAGAATTGCTTAAGCCCAAGAGTTTGAGGTTGCTGTGAGCCGTGATGCTGTGGCATTCTACTGAGGGCAACACAGTGAGATTCTGTCTCAAAAAAAAAAAGAATTATGTAATAAAGGAGACATCACCTAGTAAACATTTAGTATACATCCTAATTGTACTTATTATGTCATAGCCTGAATATACTTCTGACTCATTTGGAATGGTATTTCCTGGAAGATTTTAGTTGGGCTCTGTGACCTACATTATTTACATAGTCAGATACAGTCTGAAACAATAGAAGCAACAAAAGTATCATTAAGAGGTTGAATTTTAAGATGACTGAGAAACATTTTTAATATAGGAAAATGGGTTCTTAGGCTCTTGCAAGTATTTGCTTAAAAAAATTTATATCTTTTTAAAATTATGTATATTTATGGCATATAACATGTTTTAAAATATGTATACATTGTTGAATGGCTAAATCAAGCTAGTTAACATGCATTACCTCATATACTTAACATGTTTTGGTGATGAGAATACCTAAAATCTACTTTCCTGGTAATTTTTAAGTATATAATATATTACTATTAACTACAGTCATCATGTTGTATAATAGATCTCTTGAAATTATTCCTCCCTGTCTAACAGTATTTGCTTTTGTTAATTAAAAAATGTTAAATAGGCTCAGCGCCTGTGGCTCAAGTGGCTAAGGCGCCAGCCACATACACTTAAGGTGATGGGTTCAAATCCAGCCTGGGCCTGCCAAGCAACAATGATGGTTGCAACCAAAAAAAAATTGCCGAGTGTTGTGGCAGGCACCTGTGGTCCCAGCTACTTGGGAGGCTGAGACAGGAGACTCGCTTGAGCCCAGGAGTTGGAGGTTGCTGTGAGCTGTGATGCCATGGTACTCTACCCAGGGGGACAGCTTGAGGCTCTGTCTCAAAAAAAAAGTTAAATAGGAACCATTTAGAAGAAATTTATTTTAGTTTTCTATTCTAGTTAAGTCAATTTGCGGAGTAGTCTGTTTCCAGAGCTTTTCATTTATTTGAAAAAGAAATTTATCATTGGTTACAGTTAGGCAGACTGTGCTAATCTTTTTTTTTTTTTTTTTTTTGAGAGTGAGTCTCACTATGTCACCCTTAGTAGAGTGGTGTGATGTCACAGCTCACAGCAACCTCAACCTCTTGGGCTCAAGCAATTCTCTTGCCTTAGCACCTCAAGTAGCTGGGACTACAAGCACCTGCCACAATGCCCGGCTATTTTTGTTTTTGTTGTTGTTGTTGTTGTCATTTTGTTTGGCAGACCCTGGCCAAGTTTGAACCTGCCAGCCTCCGCAGAACCCTAGCCCGCTGAGCTTTAGGTACCAAGTCAGACTGTGCTGATTATTATCACAAAGTACACATTGTATGTAATGCTTTAGAATTCCTTTTAGAAGAAACTAAATATTCTTAGGTAAGTACCTACCTTATATATATCTACCTAGAAGATAGAAACATCTGTCTCTTAGCTTTATTCTTATTTACTACTGGTCTTCTAAATTTCATTATGGAAATAATGGTCATGTGTCATTGTTAAGGAACTGGCCTTTAGAATGTATGACTATTCCTCCTCCATTTCCTTATTATGGTTGTTTAGCTTTGTGGGCTGAGGATAGTCATTAGACCAAACCTTTCTTTGGAATGTGATTTGCCATATGGTCAGGATATATGCAGAGTACTTAGATGTCATTGTGACTTGAAGGAGGCAGGTTAGAAAATTATCTCTTAAATAATTTCTTAACACCTAGAATCTGATAGTGATTAATACAGATCAGATTTTGTATTTACCAAATCTAAGAATGGAACTATTAGATTTTTCATCTGCTTTCCACATTGACTATGCCCAGGATGTTGAAGTCAGGTATTTTGTTTTACCTTTTTAAAGTTCTGATGATTGTAGTATAGCAAAATTTCTATGACAGTGAATTGGCTTGTTTCTTTATGAATACAACTTATGAATTCAGCAGTAGTTTTATCATATTGAAATAAAAGTTGGTAAGTATTTAGACTTGAGAATTTTTTGTTTTAACAATCTTTTGTCATATTTTAAAAGATATTGCAATTGCCTTATCTGTAAGTTCTTTAAAGACCTTTACCTGAAATTTTTGTTAAGTTGCTTAGGAATCTAAAGCCATACTTATTTAAACCTGTTGAATAATGTTTTTTTCTTAAATCAAAGTAGATTTATTATGCATATTTAAGGACTAAAAAGGAATTTGTGTACATATTTAAAATAATTTTCCAGTACCTATAGCTTGGAACAGTAATAGATTTAGAAATGTTTATGATTTTTTTTAACCTCATACTAAAAGCAGGTATTAGGTTATATGCAGACATGTACTGCCGAGTTGATAAATTTTATTTCTTTTTCTATGTATTAAGTCATACCATCTACTGATAAGGGTAG